ACAGGAATGAATAAGAGTGAGAATAAAGGGGAGAAATGAAAGTGACCGACATGGAGGGAAAAAGCAGCCAAGTTTATCCATTCCAGAAAGAGCTGGCTAAATGTGCAGTGGTGCATAGAATTGATTGCAGGCAAAGGCTTTGGCACATGCTATAATAAGCCACATCATGTAGGGTTTATGGGTCCCCAACTCAGCGTGGGTGCAGAAAAGGAAGAAAATAAATAATCTTTTTACTTGGTAGTATATCATTCCCATTCTGAGCTTTCATGCTCCCGACTGCCCCAGTTATTAAGTAAAACCTCACTCATAAGGATGACAAGTGGTTTAGGGGCTGCCTCTTTTTGGTTTCTCCCATGTCATTTTTGTGAATCTGTGTCCTGATAACTGAAATGCAGCGTGGGCTCCCCCCCCCCATCCCCCCACCCCCCTTTTTAGGTATTCTGAAATTAAAGTGAGAAACTGTGGGATTTTGGGAAGAACAAGCATGGGATGATGATGTCATGGCATTAGTTGTTTCTGCAGGGCTGGACAAAGGTATGGAGGGACACAGGGATAGAGGGGGGGATGAAATCTTTATGAGAAGCAGCTGTTGGGGAGAAGCAGGCAGGCAGCTTTCCAGAGCACTAAAGCAGCAGCCTGCCAAAAGCTCACTGACAACAAGTCAGAGGCCTGATAAAGCTGGCTATGAAACGATGACAACACCACCCGCATATAATGATAACTGCAATAGCAAAGCTTTGAATATCACCAAGTCTGAAAGAGATAACAAATGGAAGTTTTACAAGCTCAAAAACGTACAATAGTTGATATTGTCCACACCTCCCAGTGTGAAAAATATGAGTGAAAGAAATATGACCTTTTACTTCTAAAGTGTATCACTGACTAGTCCTGCTAACAGACCTAGTAAAAGCCAGCTCATAACTGACGCAGCTTGAGGACCATTTGTTGAGGAAAGTGTGTGCTACCATTGCCAGGATGACTCCTGACTGTGCTGGCTAACACACTGTACTTAAGTGTGTCAGGTCTTTGGGAATCCAGTATTCATTTACAACTCTATGACTAGAATATGAAAACATCATATTTGGTTTACACAGGGTTCTACATGTGTGTAGATCGTTGGTCATTAAAATGACCTCTTCTGTGGAGAGAGTCCAAATACCAACCTGACTTCTGGGGAACCCTCTGTCTGTGAGCCAACTGGAAAAGAGTGTCAGGCATCTAGATTTGATCCAAATGGCACTCTTGACTGGAATGACAACTTGTAACCTCTCTTATCTTAACAGTAGTCAAATACTGTATATTAGATTTTCTATTTACTTCACTGCTATAGGCAGACTTCAATCCTGGTTCAAACATTTCAGTTCACTACAGTTCTTTCAGTATGACAAAACACCTTTGAGACTCAAGAATTGAACTTAAATCAGGTATAATGTGCACATGAATATGTTCAATGTTAACAGAAACACATAATGTTAATAATTAAACAGTTAAAATTATTCTTAGTCAAAAGTTGGCAAAGTAGCTGTGACCAAAGCTGACTGACTGCTTGATCAAGATATTACAGAAAGACACCAACATGTTTCAGAAAATAACTACTGTCCTCTCTCGATGATATATGGAGTTACATGCTCAGAAAAATGATGGCCACATACCGAGTGTCCATCCACTGATAGACATCTCCTGCAGTTTGTTATGCAACTGATGCTTTGCTCTGTCTCCGGCTGCAGCTATCTCGTAAAGCCTCAAAGGAATTTGGGATTGTGTGCATTCACTGAATACAAATCTTTTTTCATCTGATGCAAGGACTGGGGGTTATCCCTCATGAACTATATCTTTGTAATACCTTTTATTTGAAAGTCAATAAGCTAAAGCTAACAATTACAGAGTTTCAACAGGTGATAATGTGAACAGCATGTTAAAAGAATCTTAAACCATTGGATTAATTAACAGGACTTATAGAAAGGTATACATATGTGATTGAATATCAATCAAGAGTGTCAGTAGATTTGTTCATATTTGTTTTCCTATGCAGTACACTTTCATTAACCTTCATCTTCACCAGACTTCTGATCACAAAATCAATACCACTTCCACTTCCTTTGCCCCAGTGTCCTCAGTCTGTCACACCTCGCCTGAGGCTGAAGGGGGCTGGGCAAGTTGAGGTCTCTGAGGTCGCAGTTTCCCGTGATGTTTTTATTGGACTCAGCAGATGGCTTCCCTCAGCCTCTGCATTGTTGTGGTAGCCATCTTGCTCTGAGGGTCAGGGTTAACAATAGTTGCCAATAGCTGTAGGAGACAAAAGCCTTCAAGGCTCCCAAAGAGAGTTTCCTCAGTAACCCAAGGTTGTAAAACTTACAAACTGCTGTCAAATCTACTACTTTTATGATATGTAAAAGTCATTAGTGCTAGTCAGGCTAAGGGGAATGCTGGGAGGAACTGTCTTGCATGCAGGAGTCAGGTCTGAGAAAGGGTCAAGCCTAAGCAAGAATTGTGTGAAAATACCAAATGACCTTTTAAGGCACTAAGTTCTGCACTTTTTTACTTTAAGCCTTAGGACTCCAATCAGAGAAGCGGGACAGCCCACACTGTTTATATAGTGCAACAGTATACTTGTATTATTCTTTGCAATACCCACTTTCCTCTTTAGTTTTGACAGCCTCTGTCATCCCATCCCCCCATCTTCTCTTCAATATGCTCCTCCTTCACATCTCCCATCATTCCTCTCCCTCTGGGATATGCAACACCCTTCAAAACCAAGAAAAATGTAACTGTAAAACTAGAAGGCTCTATACATTCTTTATGGTCCCCCTTTGCCCACCCCCTCCCTCCTTTCCATGCAGGATTTCTGGCCTTCATTTCTGTTTTTGGTTTTAGTAAGGCGAAAAGAATCAGGGGGGAGGAAGGGGAAAAAATGGTTGATGTTTCCCTTCAAACATGTGACCTCTGCTCGCCTCACAGCTGAAAATAATTTAGGCCTACAGGCCAGTGGACGGCTGACGCAAACACTCCTCCCTACTCTCCCCTCGCTGGGGGAGCTTGGTCCTGGTCAAAGTGGGGGTTGAAAATTAAGCTGTGAGCAAAACTAGAGGCAAAAAAAAATCAGTGGATCGTACTTTTTGTCTTCTTCTTGTCAAATTAAACTATTCCATCGTGTCAATTTGTTCTTCATCCTGGAAGAAAAACGTACAAGCCCTGAATCATTCCAAAACACTGGACCCAAAGGGCCAATTATGTTGTTAGCTCACGGAAGAGTTCAGCTATGTGGCTGCAAATGTTTACGTAATCTGCAGAAATTATGGCTTTTTTTCTGACTTGCCTCAATGCCAGTTGGGACAACAATTTGTGGAATTTGGCTGAGTTAGTCGCAGATTCCCTTCATAGTAAAGGTGCAAAAAAAAAAAAAAAAAAAAAAAGGGTCAAGTAATGCATGTTTATTGACAGAGGAATGAAGTGGGGGATTGGGCCGAACAATGCTCAGGAAATGTTTAACGGCATACAGATACCCTAAAGTATCCCAGCACATCTGGTTGAAGCCGCATATGCACACATGTACATTACGTTGGTTTGGAGTGGGATGTCTGGCAGGATGTGTTTATGTATGTCTTTGTGTTTGTTTATGAGGCTTTGTGTGAGTGTGCGGATGAGTTGTATAGCATTTATAAGCATTAATTAAATTGAACTTAATGTTAATGTAAATATCTGCCAATAGGATTGAGCCCTGACCTGTCCTCCTTTCTCATGTTAGCCACATCTGTGCCACGTAGCGGCCTAGCCCTTCTTCCTCATGCCAGCTCTCCACCAGATTTTCCAGTCCAAGTCATGAACACTTTGCACCAGCGATTCTTGCTTAATGTTACATGGATGGTTTCATTATACTCTTCAAACTCGCCGAGCATGTCCTCTTTCACTCGCCCTGGCACTTCTTGGCTGTAGAACAGAGGGAAATATGTAGCATTGTGGAAGACACTCAACACATTAAGGAAGTTAATACGTAGGATTAAAGAGGAGTTTACGAGGAGGATTTAAAAATGTGAGGACAAATATGTGTAGGGATATGCTTATGTTGAGTACCTGTTGTTTTAGTTTGAAATAAACTTGCTTTGTCTGTTTGAAAAAAAAATGTTGCTTTAGGACTGTTTTCTGACCCAGGACCAGTGGAAACTCAGACTGCTATACAGACTCGTACACATTGTGTGCTGTCTCTTCAGTTGATTTGATGTTCTCGTAACTCAAGTTGCTGCTATACTTTCCATCCACAGAGCACTTTGGTGGATGCAACAATGGGATTTGTAGTGTTTAGTGTTAGTGTCTTGGCTACAATAATCTGTTTTGGAAAGTGTAAAAATGAGACACGTACTGATAACCAAGTAAGTACAAATGGGGGCTCTTCTCTGTCTTAGTGCCCCCATTGATGATTTAATAAAGACAATTACTTTAAGACAATTTGGAGTTTGAAGTACTCCTTAAGTTTTCCATGATGCCACATGGCTGAAGGAATCCAATGTGTGTTTCGTGTTAGGAAATGTTGAAGCTTTCTTTCAGCTGTATCCTCCAATTACTCTGGTTTGGAGGGATGCTGTGCAACCTGTGAGGTCCGATGCTCTGCAGCTTGGTTCAGAATTGCGTCTGGCTTGCCACAGAAATGAGAGGTTTTAGCCATACAGAAGTTTACATTCACGCACTAGAGTTAGAAAAAAAAACTTTCCTGAAGGAGTCCTGGGTCAGCAGCTCTTCTTTTCCCCCGGCTCTCTTCTTTGTGTTTGTTCATCTGCCTGTTTTTGTGTATACGTTGAACTAACATGAAAAGAAAAGATACAGGCTGAAGTATTTCCAGCTGTCTGAATTTGTGCTCAACAAGTTGTCTTATAAATGCTTTTCTGTGCAACTTCATGACCGATATGTTGAAATATTGGTCCATGTGTTTTAACAATGTTTTTACAGGATACACATCTCAATGTACAATCATGCTCATCACTGTCCTTTTTTGTGTGTCTGTACAGGATGCCAGCTGCTAGCACCATGACTGGTGGGAGGGCCCTGCTGCTCTGTACTAACACTGACAACTGTATCTACCAATCAGTTAACGGGTAGGTGCCTCAAACCCCATTAGTACTTTGTCTTATTCTTTGTCTCACAGTAGTAAATACCTAGCATACTAAATTGTATGCATGTTTCTGGACATCTTATTGTGAAATGACACACTGGTGAAGACAGTATATCACATGAAGCTCACAACACTGGCTGCTTGGTACAGCTTGTACCACTGGTCGTTATTGTGAGATTCCTCATGCTGCTGCTTTCCGTTGTATATTTCTGTCAGATTTTCTTTATTTGAGGAAGATCAACAGTTTATCCTGTTCTTTGCTGTTAACGGCTTATTATTGAAGAATGAATAGTTATGGACCTGAGGTTTGAGGTCTGAGGTTTCAATTGCGTTGCATTATGGACGTTAAGGGGTTTAAACCGTCTTCAGTGAAGTAGATCCTGTTATTGCGGCAAAATGTAACAACAATTTTAAGACAGTAAAGAAGTTCAGTTTCCTCTACCATCCTATACCTCTTCAAGTTTTCCAAAACATGTTTTCTGACCTCAAATGCACTTTTTCCCATAACTATAAAAAGGGTCTGTGCTGCTGTTAAGCACACTGGAAACACCTCTTTCCATTTGGGTCAGCAGGGAAACAACAGCAGGACTAGAATGCAGAGCAGGGCAGAGTTGGCCATCTGGCATCTGGATACTGTTACTGCCCCCCTGCTGCCATTGTCTGATGCCTCTTTGACCACTTTCCATGGTCCCTTCTGTCGCCCTTGCAATATTCATTAGTCCTATTTAGATTATAATGAAGGGATTTTGGATGGTGCCTGTAAGAAGAGGGACTGCAAGATTTGAATGTTTTGATGATCTGCCATTTTACGATCGCTCAATAACATATGTATCTTAGGGATTTGTTAAATGTTTATCTAAAGGAATACTATTCAAATAAGTTAGCTGTGTATATCTTTTTCTTCTTTATTTCGATCTTTCTTTAATCGTCTCATCCTATGTTAGCTCTGCTGGTCAGAGATACTGTTGTGCCCTCATACCCCCTTTTTCTCTTTCTTTTTTCATCTCTATGCTCCACCCATCCTCGGCTTGACATTACATACTGTCCATTTTTATAATTACTTTCTCACAATCTCTTCTTCACACTTAATCAGCAACAACCATTTGTTTTTAAACAGAGAAGCATATTATTGATTCCTTGTCCATCTGCTCCTTCACCCACACACCCAAACACCCCTTCACCCCTTCATACTCCTTTTCTCCTTCACTTGGCTTCTCTATGTGACCTACTTTTTTCCTCTCTCGTGCCTCATGCTTAATAGACACTGCTGTTTCTTGCAAGGGACGAAAAACAAGAAAGAAGGGGGGAAGGGTGAAAGGGGTCAAGCTAATAAAACTTAAAGCAATTTGGAGGATCATTATTTGGTTTCCTCATTGGCCATAGTTACAACATCACTTTATTTTGTTTTCTTTAAAGGTCTCTGAGGAAACTTGATTCTTGAGCAATCTCCCCCAGAGATTTTCTCTGAATTGCATGACTGTTGGTTTTCACATCCACAGCGATGTCATCAGATGTCGCCCAGAAAGGCAGCGTTTCCTCCGTTTGTTGGAAATTTCTGTCATGTGATGTATGGTCCATAGGCCAAAACTCAGCTTCTGGGGTCAGGAGAAGGAATGAAAAGATGCACGTCTACATTTGGTGGCCCCTCCTCTTCTGTGTATACTTTCATCTCCTCTCCAGAAATAGCTGTGCGTAAAGCTAGTAAACTTTGACCCTCAAACCCAAAGTTCAAATGGTCATGACCCAGTAATCTTCCAGGAGTGACTCACTGCAGAAATAGAGGCAACAAATAGATGTCTCTGCATCTTTAGTGACAATTATTGTTTCCCCCATAAAACAAAGATCGATTGTGAGTGAAGCTAAGTGCTAACACTGAATTGCCAGATTTGGAACATGATGCTTGGCTTTGTACACCTAGGCATCAGTTGACATTTAAGCTAAAATAGTATAACTGCCCAATAAATTATGAGAGTTGAAACATTGTAATGTACTTACGCCTCTATTTCTTTTGTTGAATTGAGAGTGAATTTAGAGTTTTTCCATGGGTTGGCACAGCCCCATTATCAAGAGATGAGTCTTTGTATGATTCCCTTCATGTTTGGGTTTATTCATGTTTTTTTGTTTGCATTTAAAAAAGTATTTTAAATGTGTTTGTTAATCTTCCTGCTGTGTTTTTTTTTTCCAGGCTCCAGTGCTGTGGCTTGAAGGTCGGGGAGGCTCCGTCGCTTTCGGTGCCCCAGCGCCAAGAGGTGTGCGGGTCACCAGGGGACAAAGACAGGAAGGACATCCCTGCGTCCACCAAGCGTCCCCTCTCCCCCTCACTAAGCCTGACCGACAGCCCGGGTCCTCCTGACACCATGCTGGCTCAAAGGAGAACCACCACCACCACCAGTGACCAGCGGACTCCCAACATGGAGAATGGCCTGTGTGGCAAGCTGAACAACAATAAGAGCCCAGCAGGAGTCAAGACTGCCAGCATCCGCGATAAGATTTCACAATGGGAGGGCAAAAAGGAGTCCCCCCCTCTTACTTCTTCAGGGACATGTCCACTGAGCATGACACAGAAGGACGTTGAGACAGTGAGGAAAAAGGACTCCAAAGCTTCAGAGTTTCAAAGGACAGACAGCAAGAAATTTGTCAGCTGGGACAGACAGGACTCAGGGAAGGAGAACGTTGGAAAGCTGGGGGATTCAAGGCCTAAGTCTCCAGAGGGCCAAACAAACAAGGACAGAGAAGTAATCTTAGAGAGGGGATGTTTGGCTTCAAAGCCAACAGAACAACCCCAAGACAAGAAAACTGTTTTAACTCATGTTAAGAAACTGGAGAAGGCAACAAAGGAGGTTCCTGACAGACCTTCGCTGGCATTTCCAGGGAATTACTTCTGTCCTCCCTCAAAGGAGGAACTGGAAGAAACCGAAAAAAAGGCCAATGAGCCCATTTTTGGGACTTTTGATGTGGCTCGGCATGGAGGGTCTCGGAGGAGGAGGGAGGGGGATCCAGAGAATGTGTACAGTGAACCAGGTGCACCTTCTATAAACCCTTTACCTAAACCTCAAAGAACCTTCCAGCACCACACACCCCCCACTACTCCAACTTCAGGACCAGGCTCGGGGAAGGGACGGAGGAACTTGCCTCCTCTGCCCTCAATTCCTCCCCCACCTTTACCTACATGCCCACCCCCTGGAGTTTGCAGAAGACCCTGGGCAGACAGACCCAGGGACAGCAATAATAGGTGAGAGAATGCGACCTTGATGGCAGAAATTCACACAGCTGTTATTTGAATTAAGTGCTTATGTCATTATGCTTGTATGTTCACAATAACAAAGCTAACACATTATTATTTGATATGTATATTGTTCTGCATGTCCAACACCTTAGTTTGGGGTGTTACCATTTACTTATAAGCTACGATTTTACTTTATTTTTGTTCTACCCTTTTTAAGCCATATTTGTCCCATTGATATCAAAGATCAATGATTCAAGTCTGCACCCTCTCTAGCCGCACCAGAATTAAGAGTTGGTTAAACTAGTAATCAACTTTTGTATGAATTCAGGCCTTCGCTGCTGATCAAATGATGTGTCTAAGATGTAGCGCAGCCGCATTACCACTAGCTGGGGCTGTAGCTCCTACTGGTTACTGCTATGCTGCCATACTGCTCTACTACTCAGAGGTAAACAAGCAAAGTAGATGGATAGCATCTTGTAGGAGCAGCACGGTTTGTAGTATTTTAAATGAGAAAATGGAGATAACGAGTATGTAGACTTCATCAGGTAAAAAAAAATTGGCATCTATCTACTCGACTGCATTGAGAAATGCATAAACAGCACAGGCATGTGGACCTCCAAGGAGGACGAAAGGCTGGCAGTGTTAGCACTGCTGACCTTAGCCACACTTTGCTAACCAATTTGACATCTTAAACCCGCCGACGCTGTGATCCCGTCTTCAGTTGTGATCCCGTCTTCAGTTGTGTTAAATAAGGTGTTCTCAATATTGACTGTTTTATGAGTGTTTTCTTAACTTTGGACTAGCTAACTAATCTGAATTTAAATGTGTGTTTCACCCACTTTGAAATGATGTCACTAGTTTTATCTCTAGTTCCAACAAAGAAAAAAACAAACCAACAATTAAAGTTACGTGCTAAGTTAAAGAAAACCCTTAAATAAACAGCTCAAACATCTGTATACAGAAAGCCTGGTCTTCAAATATTTTTGTAAGACCAGTCCAGTTGAACAGTCCGTAGTGAAACAATATAACTTGTTTAAATCATCCATGGACCTTGTAAGCCTGAAACAAATTTCATAGGTTTGGTGGAGATAATTCAGCCTGGACCAAAGTTACCAACCAACCCAACCAAAAATCAGATCATTCTATTCCCAGAGCTTAAACATGACATGTACTGTCAGATGGTCAAGCCGTCTTGTTTTGTCCTAACCAAAAATCTCACTTAATGAAAGTCTGACATGCTCTAGTGGAATCTGTATTAACCATTGATGGTGCAGGGTGTCTTATAACCCTTCCCCTCCACCACTGTCAACCTAAAAATGAGGTAAAAACATTTCCCACATCTGCTGTAAATCACAACCACCGATGACATCATTCTGTTTCGAAATATCCCAAAGAATGAGCTCATTGGTTGGATCTCAGGAATGAACAGATTAAGTAGACCCATTCGTCTCTCCAAAACTACTGCAAAAAAGGGGAGACTAACATGCAGATTTGTGTGAGTAATGTCAAGGAGGCCCCTTGCTTTTTCAAGATTTTTAGCATTGACATTAAAAAGGGTTGTGCCAGGCTTTTTGCCATCACAAATAGTGTGTGAGGTGATCAGTTTGCAGAGTTTGAATTTCTAAATGTAACATGTGTCTACTAGTAAAGTGTGAATCAGAAGCTGAGTCACTCTCTTCTGTCAAGAGCAATTAACATGTTAGAGTAGTGCTCACATTGTGATGGTTACAATCAAACAAACAAAGCTCTGTAGGGAAACCAAAAAAATGTGAACTCTGCAGTATTGGAGTGCATCTATTGTTCACTTTCTCCGGTGGTCTTGTTCGAAGCTTGGCTTGGATTTGTTACATTCCATACCATATGTGGAGGCCTCACTCAGCTCAAGTGTGCTGGTTCAAGCCCTTAGTTTGGCAAGGCTGTCTCTGTGTCTTCTGCAGTGTGCATTTTCTGAGTGTGAAGAAATACACGGGGTTGCAAGTTAAGAAGGAACACTTAGCTTTCTGCATGGTATTAAATGCTCTTTTATGTAAAACCTTAATTCAACTTCTAGACTGTGTATAAGTGGAAAAATGCTCTAGATTTTGCCAAAGTGCCTTAATACTGTTTTTATATCTAATGGCCAGCAGGGGGCAACTCCACTTGTTCCAAAAAATAGTTCTGATTGCATTGAAGTCAGTAAGAAAATGGTCCTATGATCTATTACTTTATGACATTTTCTTAATGAGTTGAATTCACTAGAGTGAAGTATTGTTAAAGCAGCATGATGCTAATCTTGTCCATTTAGAGAAAGATGATGATGAAGGAGGCTAAGCTTCAGGGCATTGCTTCCTGCGATTTACAAGTCCACTACTTGGTGAACCTGTCAACCAAGAAAACCGAATAAAATAAGACGGAGACTTGCAGGGCTGTTGGATTGAATTCCAATCCACGTGGCAAGCTGTGCCTAATAAAGTGACAACTTACTCTTATAGTATTTGAAGTATGTGCACGCATGAAGGGATGCACGCAACGGTGTTTGCTTGTGTGCACTTTATTCTGCTGGGCTTTAATCATTGCCTGTGATGAAACACAGATGTGGTCATTTCGATGTGGCAGCAAAATGCAACATTAGTTTAAAAGCATCAATGTGAGCTCGCATTGACTTAGAGAGATCCGTCAAATATCCTTCCTTCATCTCCTGTCTTTGTATTTGTCATGCAACTCTCCTAAAGCTTTGTGATGTTCTGTCCACCAGGAAGTCCTACGAATTTGAGGATCTGCTCCAGTCGTCTTCAGAAAGCGGCCGGGTGGACTGGTATGCTCAGTCCAGACTGGGCCTTACACGCACTTTATCAGAAGAGAATGTCTACGAGGACATAATAGGTAAAACATATCAAAGAGTTTAAATCTAGTTACATATGCTATAATTGGATTTGTATTACTAAGATGAATAGCATTGTTTAATACCATAATGTAGGTAGCCATGTTGTCGTCTTTCCTGTACCCGTCACACTCTGCATGACCCACTGGTTTCATTTCACATATCAGTCATAGTGTTGCAGTTAGTAATAGAGGTGATGAGGAGGCCAGGCTGTCTTTCCTCTACTTTGTTTTTACTGCTCCAATTTTAATTTAGGAGCCATGCAGCTTCACTTTTATTACATTTTTTCTACATAGAAACCTAACCTTAGTTGCTACCTCATTATCTGCAGTGTTGTGCCAACCCCACCTAGAGCCAGTTTAATTTCATCAGGTACAATAGCAGCTTTGTGTGAGGTTGTACTATAGCTGAGGCTGGCTACTGTAATAATCAGTGCAATATCATGACATGAAGATGGCATAGAGCCATGGCATATTACTGGCAATTGCATCAGTGTGTCTTTTGCTCTCCTCCTTGATACTGGTGTATTATCAGGGCTTCTTGCTCGCTACAATGACTCAATCTATTTGAGTGATTCCTCAGCTTTTCTTAGATATGTTTTCTATTCCTATATAGTAGTATTGTTCTATAAAATGTTCAGACTTTGTTCCCTAGTAATCGTCAGCGTCTATGTTTCTCAGAATCACTTTTGTTATCTCCTAAAAAACAGGTATAGATAGTGATGATTAGTTGTGATATCCTCCTAGTCTTGTCAACAACCTCCTCACAGAAACCTGCCTCTCATCAACACACTTTAAACACACCATCCACATGACTGATATTGTTTTCAGATCGAGAAGAAAGCTACTGTCACCACCACACGTATTCAGACGCACGTTTCGATGACTGATGCAAACTCACATGTGCACAGCTGACGTGTGACGCTTTCAGCGGCCAGCAATGTGAAAAACAGCACACTGATCCCTTGTTTTCCTCGGAGGGAGAAGAAACCGGGAACGTTCGTCTTTATCCTCCTACTCATACAGCTCACATCTGGTGGATGGATTGATAGAGCAGAGGGGATACAAAGAGACTGAGAGAGAAGGAGGAACAGGTTTTTTGAAAATGAAACATCCTCATTTCTTATCTGCAGGGGAGGATTGGTGTCTAGAAGTTATTTTGCTTTAGCTGTGCAAGCTTCGTCTCACAGGGAAATATGAGCTGGATGGCTGACTTTGGTAGCTCTCTGCACATCTGGAGTAGAATTGTTTAAAAACAGTCATAACAGATCTAGAAAAAAAGTACTTTATCTTCTCTTTGAAAATCTTGGGGAAAGCGTTTGCATCTTACATGTAACTTTTGTTTTGTAATTGTTTTTTCTCCTTCAGATCCTCCATCCAAGGAAAACCCTTATGAAGATATAGAGCTGGAGAGAAGTTGTTTGGGAAGCAAATGTGTTTCACCTGCCTCCCCATCTCCCATACCTGACACACCATCTAAGGTACCTGATCACAAATACATCAATACAAAATATAATAGATTAAAGGCAACTTATTGATGTACTAAAATTGGCTTCTTATTTCCCCCCAGCTCTCCTCAAAGCCCGGTTTCTTCAGACAAAATGCAGAACGGCGAAGCTTCAAACTTCTTGAACTACGCAAGGCCAGCAGGGACACTGGCATCTCGTCTCCCTCCCGTATCAGCCCCCCTTCTACACCCAGCAGCCCAGACGACACCCCCTGTCTCTCTGGAGACCCGTACAATCGCAGGCGGAGGAAAATCCCAAAGGTATGGGAGTCTTGAGACGTCTCTAACAAAGCTTGCGCTGCTCTGTCTTTGATTTATGGTCCAGTGTGTTTCTCATGAAGGTTCAGAGCTGGTCCACTCATGCTGCCGGCTCGGGATGAGTAAGGCAGAGGAAAAATTTCCTGATGGATATTTCCTATGAGAAGTGTGCTTTAGTGTGGATGGCCTCCCAGAAGCTTGTATTGAAACAATCTAGTCTGGCAGATCTTGTTTATTAGTTTAAGGAGTTAAAGATGGACATTTCTTTCCCCTTACCTCCAGATGGTGCTGAAAATCAATGGCATCTTTGAGGCAAGGAGAGGGAAGAAACGCATGAAGAGGGTGTCTCAGTCCACAGAGTACAGCTCAGGGAGAGGTGAGGCTCCAAATATGAAAGCATGTCTTGAACACACACTGTTATCTGTTTTCACTTTTCATTTAGCTACTCATCCACTTTCAATAAAGTGGAAAAAAAAACCTGGAAAAATATATATTCTCCATCTCTGCAAAGCCACCACCAATGAGTTTGTGACTTGTTTGTGTTTTAGCACTGGTTAACTGATTATGATTTGGCTATGGAAGAAAACAAGAAATGCATTTCCCTAACCCTTAAGTATCACTTGAAAAGAAAAAAATAAGTAAAGAATATGTAGATTAACCAATGTACAACTAGACAGTTTTATTGGTCATTATGATCATCAATGATTTCAAGTTTACCATCAAGAATAAGAATACTGGTCTGAATCCAAAAAGTTTCTATCAGGTTACTTTACTAAGTTGTTTTTTGGTATAAGATTTATTTAGCATGAAGCTTTCAACACGTACAACAACAAAAGCCATACGATACAAAAACTCCTGGCACATTGTCTGGATTAATAACTTAAGACGATGTAGATATATCGGCAGAGGCTAAGAAGATAATAAGAGGATGATCCACACAGGATTGAAATCACTCTGAGCAGATTCAGATGTGCTCTGTGAGTTATTCTGTGATATTTTATTTTCAGTCGTCTCATATCCTGTTTTTCTTTTTCACTCTTTCTTCTCTTTTTTTGAAGTGACTGATGAGAACAGTGAGTCAGAGAGTGACACGGAGGAGAAACTAAAAGGTGAGAACAGAAAATAAATGCTGATTCATTCTGTAGCTACACAGACCCAGCACTATTAGGATCACATATTTTATGATGTACAGCAAATCATTTTATTAGATTATGAAACTGATTAATATCATAGTATTTCCTTTTTGTCCATTGTTTGATTGTATAGTCCACTTTAAACATAAACACTGATGAAACTGATAGCCTTACACAGCCTCACAGCGACCCTTTGTTCATCTATATGTTTTTCCACAACATGGAATATTACATGAATTGTTTTTTTTCTACACCGCTGTTCTTAGCACACAGTCAGCGCCTGGTGTCGGTCCAATCCATGCTGAGGCAGACAGGGCGGTACCGGACGTTGGAAAGGGATCTGATGGAGTTGCAGGAGAGGAATCTATTTGAGTATTTCATAGTTGTTGCACTCCACAAGACCAAAGCTGGAGTCCCATACCTGCCAGAAGTCACACAGCAGTTCCCCCTGAAGGTAAAAGAAACGATGTGGCAGAGTACCTGTCCAAAGCACTTGTACTGACAAACCAAGAATATTATACGAAGACAAAGAAACATCTGCAATGCACCACAACTGTAGCTGTCTGACTGAGTAAGAGTGATAATTCAGCGTAAAGTTTATGAGCATCCTGGTATGGACTTTTCTTGGAAAACCACAGGAACTTTCACACTTGTCGGCACTGCAACAGCAGGTGTTATCCAATTAAAAAAAGAAAAAGCCAAGTTGTTTTTGAATAGTGCTACTGCTTTTCCACGGACTAAAGAAAAGACGGAGCAGAACTCATCGTTCATCAATAACGACTGCAGCAATGTAGCCTTGTATGTTCCAAACTCCAAAAGGGATGTTAACAATGTCAAGACTTCCCATAATCTTACTGTCTTACTGGCTATAGTCAATCGTTTCTTAAAATCAAGACACCCGCTGATGTTATAGCAATGAGAAAAAGAAGATAAACACACACACAGGGATTCTTTACATGCTTCATTATTTATTCCTTTTAGCAGGCTGATGTTCTCTGTTTTCTTTTCCTACTTTGGGTTAGGGACTTTACTGTTGCATTTAAATACATTTGTTAACAAATCTCCTGTCTCTTTTCATTCAGCTGGAGAGGAGCTTTAAGTTTATGCGGGAAACTGAGGACCAGCTGAAGGTCATCCCTCAGTTCTGTTTCCCTGACGCCAAAGACTGGGCGCCTGTCGACAACTTCCCCAGGTCAGGCTTTGTCTGATTAGCTTGCCGCAGCACTTTGACTTGAAAAAAGAAAAGAAAAAAGAAACACAACAGGGACACAGGAATTTCCCCACAGAGTGCTAATAGCTCAGCTGTTTCCCTGGCTAATAACCACTTGTTAGAGAAGCGGCTCAAAATAGAAATGACCTTGTGTCTTGTTAATATGTCGGTCATTTTCTTTAAAGCACCGACGCTGACAAATAATTACAGGGAGAAATTTTGGATTTAGCACTTGACACACCTGTTTTGTTATTACAAAATCGCCTCTCTGTTTTTTTCTGTTTATAATTGGCATTATTACCCCCATACCTCCTAGCTTAGCCTCTCAATGCAGACATTGTACTGGGAAGTGATGATGAGTGTCCTGACAGCTATGGCTAATTATTACCTGGAGTCAAATGTTTGACGGGTTCGGGGCCGCCCAACACACACCTACATTGAACTTGTTGGCACTCTTTCCTGTCAGTGAGGTCCTCACAGGTCAATGAATACCTGTCAGCTACTGCTAAGGAGGTTTTGTGTGGATATTTGCAGAGTAAACCTGTCCTGAGGGTTTTTCCTCTCAAGTACAAAGACATACCTTTGTTTACACAAACCACAAGTCCAGTTCAGAAGGGGAAGGGGGGGGGGTGTTGTAGTTTAAAAAGCTCTAAATATTTAATATTTACCAGCATGTTTGAATTATTGTTGTATTTTTCTTTTTTTATCCAAAGTGAGACATTCTCATTTGTCCTGACTGGTGAGGATGGGAGCAGGCGGTTTGGATACTGTCGCCGGTTGCTGGTACGCTTCTTATAAACCTTAACGATAATGCCGACCCAATTTCCACTGTTCCTGTAACCATTTTTATCTTGTCTGACATTTTTTCCTGCACATCTCTTGAATTCTGCTAGTACATTTTTTACCTGATTTTTTTCCTCAAAGTGTCTGTGAAACAAAGGCTTTGCTCTGCTACACTGGTCTAATCCTGGGGTTGTGCTTGGGTGAGCAGTCTTGTGACACTCCAGTGTTTTTGATCTGTCTTTTTTTATTTTTATTGCCATCTCTTCTCAGCCCAGTGGTAAAGGCAGAAGGCTCCCTGAGGTTTACTGCATCGTCAGCCGCCTGGGCTGCTTCGACCTCTTTTCCAAGGTAGATACAGTCATTTAAGTTTGAACACAAATGCTTTGTACACTTAAACAAGGTTGCACAGAATGAAATGTGTTCTTCATATACATAACCCCACCCACACTGTGAGAGTACAGAGCAGTACCACCCTCATTGCCCACAGAGCCACACCCACCCCCTGTCCGCTCTACTTTCCCACAAATCCTCGAGTCCTGGCTCCAGTTCAGAGACACATGTGAACTGCAGCTGATGTGGTTTCTGCAGTTGAGAAAAGTTCCTTGTACAGAGCCTGAGATTTATATGCATGTCGACCCATTTACGTAAATATCTGTGCAGTGTACATATGCCTTCACTAAAACTTGGTTTGTTAAGATTCAAACATGGGCAAGAAAACACTAAAAAACAGTATATCTGTTCTCACAGGACTTTGTAAATAGAAAGATAGTTCCATCTGCATTGCATGCACTCAGTGCTGATGACAAACTGTGTTTCATCTGTATCAAATCACTACACAAAAGTTTAATGTGGTACAGATGTGTACAGTGTGTGTTTAGAGGGGTACACATCATGGGTTCAGGCTGTTAGCTATTTGTTGTATCCACTTTTGACAATGTTTGACTTTCTCCACTTCCCACGCACCATTCATTTATTTCTGATGGTAACTAAATCCATAGCCATTTTAAATATCAATCCCATTAAGATTACTGATTGTTATCGGATACGTATTCCCTCTTCTATCACATTACAATGGGACTAACCTGCCTTTATAAAGGTTAAAGGTCACAAACACTAACACTAATATGTGTCCCTAGCCTGTCGACAACCCCCAAAATGATGTGAAAAGTCCATCCTCTCCATTTCGTACCTGCTCCACTATTCAGAAAATGTGTGCTCAAACAGGCCGTTTGGAGATTTTCCCTTCATGACATCACAAAGGGCAGTAACCCCTCCCCCATGTGGGTGACACTTCCAAAGCGAGTTGTTTGTTCTGCCCTCTGAGTCTGCCTTCTCACCATAAACAATTAGTCATGGTGCCAGAAAGCCTGAGCCACATCCCCTTCCAGAGAGAGGCATGGTCAGACACAGCTCATTTGTATTTAAAGCTACAGACACAGAAACAGCCTGCTCTGAAAAACAGGGCTTTATAGTCATGATCAAATACAGGATCCGAGTGAATTTTCGGCAAGAAACTTCAAAGGCATGTTTTTGGGAACTCTGCGACTTGTTTAAAATTTAAGAGGATTTAGTATAATATGTGAATACATTTTAAATAAATACTTACATTAAATATCATATTGATGTTTAAAGCTATGACAAGGACCATAGCCTCTGCACATGGCACTCTGTGATTTCTGGTGTTTAAAGCGCAGAGCCATGTTCTTTGTGGGTTTTTTTTTCAGATCTTGGATGAAGTAGAGAAAAGGAGGGCTATCTCTCCTGCTCTTGTGCAACCTTTCATGAGAGGCATAATGGAGGCTCCTTTTCCTGCTCCAGGAAGAACCATCACTGTCAAAAACTTCCTACCTGGTTCTGGGACAGAGGTGAACCTAGTACATGAACATTTTCTAGAAACAATGAGACCACATCAGTGTCTTCATTTGTACACATGAAGTGCAAACAATGCAATCTAACTGTCTTTGTCACACTCACTTTCTCATTCTTTATCTTACAGGTGATAGAGTTGTGTCGGCCCTCAGATTCCCGTCTGGAACACGTGGACTTTGAATGTCTCTTTTCCTCCCTGAGTCTACGTCTCCTCCTGCGAGTGTTTGCCTCTCTGCTTCTGGAGCGCAGGGTCATCTTCACTGCTGACAAACTCAGGTAGACTCCAGCAACATACTGCTAGAGAGTGTGTGTGTTTAGTCTGCTCCCTGATATCAAGATCATATGTTAAGTCTTGCATTAAGTATCGTTTAGGTGGGTTCATTGCAGAGTTTTCATTTCATCAGTTGCGATCAGATTCTTTGAGGAAGGGTTTTGATGTTGGAAGGACAAACTTGTAAAGAGTTTGGATGTGGCGGAGAGACAAACAGCCTGAGCAAAAAGAAGATCCTGACAGAGTATGAGAGGAAGGAATGCTGTTGCGTTATACAGTCGCCTGGGGAACAATCACTTCTCCTCTGGAAAAACTGTCATAGACACCAGACAGAAGGAGTGAGCTTTCAGAGGATGACTCAAGAGCTAACACGTGTGCACAATGACGTCATCACACCCATACAGTCCACTTAAGCCCCCCTGACTGTTTCTTACTGTTGTAGTACACCTGGTCAACATGTGGGCTTAGCACAATCAGTTTTATTTGGTCTCGATTTGCTTATACTTTTGGCGCCTTAACTGAAATACAATCTTGCTTTTTTTCCCTCCTCGTTTATGTTCCCGCCTTTCTACTGTCGTGCAGAAATTAGCCTTGGAAGCGTTTCTCACCAGAGCTCAGAGCTCATGAGCAGATCACGTCGTAGTTGCACATTTTCTACCCTAGAGTGGAAACTTGGCCTCGTCAATTAATTTTTTAATGAATTAACCGTGAGCATAGGCACACCCGGGAGACATTAAGTAAACAGCATGGGGTTGAGTGTGCTTGCTACTGCTGTATAGTTTTTTTTATAGGCATTACATCACCCTCCTCCAAGAGGTGCATTAAAAAATCTTCTCATGGTAACAATGGGCTTGTTAGAGCAACAGGAGTGAACTTTTAACATTATGTTCCAAATTAGGTAGAAGGTGGAGGAGAGGTTATTGTTTTCAGGGGTTGTTCAGTGCCCTCTTGTGGTCAAAACTAGACTTGTTAATTTCTGAACCACAGAAAAATTCAGTCATGAGTACCATATTTTAAGGATATGCATTGGAAGTGCACAATATTTTCGCTATCTTAATTTTAACAACTTGGTTATATTCTTTATAGCTCCAGAATAACAACTGAATAGACTTTGTGGTAGGCTTGCTTGTGATATTAAACTAATAATGTGATAACCAGTATTTATGATATCTGAGGGCGTTGTAATAGGCAGTGTTTGTGGGCTTTTTAAAAAAAACTTTTCTACAGTTTTCACTGATTAAAATCTCTCTTTCCACAGCACCTTGTCTCAGTGTTGTCATGCAGTAGTGGCTCTGCTCTACCCTTTCACCTGGCAGCACACGTACATTCCCGTACTCCCACCCTCCATGTTGGATATCGTGTGCACCCCCACCCCCTTCATAGTCGGCCTCCTCTCCAGCTCTCTGCCTCGACTCAAGGAGCTGCCCATAGAAGAAGTAAGATCAGCTTTTTTTCTTTGTTTGCGATGTACTGACTTTAGCGCCCTTGACTCTGGACCTTTCCTCCTCTGAACAATAGCTGCAGGAAATGACATCACTCTCCCTCTGCTCCTCCCCCAGGTCCTGGTGGTTGACCTCTGCAACAGCCGCTTCCTACGACAGGTAGAAATCATAGAAATGTAGAGAAAACAGTGACACATAGAGCCATCCTTAAACTCAGTTTAACATGGAGTGATTCTAGAAGATGCTATGTGAGTACTTTATGTTTATTCTCTACGACGCATGGACTGTTTTTTAAAATCTGTGAATTTCCCTCCTCAGCTGGATGATGAGGACTCCATTCTTCCTCACAAGCTGCAGGCGGCTCTCGAGCATGTGCTCGATAAGAGGAGGGAGCTGGCCTCTGAGAAAGGAGATCTACCCAGTGGTAACTCATCACACTTTTTACAATATTGTCTCTGTCAAGATGTCTTATATAATAATAACATTATTATTTTTTTTATAAATACCAATAATTCTAAAGACACTGTTGTAAAATGTTTAGAGGTATGATCCACAGCATGGTTTCCACATTTTTAAAATAATTATTTTTAGGGCACCAGATAGACTGACAGTTTTGACATGTCCCCCATGTACAGAGAATATATTGTAGGAAGATACTGTCTGTATATATACACATAATATACTGTGAAGCAAAATATAATAAAGATCCAAATGTGCAAATGATGATTGGGATGAGTCCATGATAGAGAGAGCCACATTGGGGTTGGGCTTTTCTTGCCCTGAGAGCAACAGGCCTAGGTGCTCTAAATTAGACAAGCTGATTCCTCTAGGAATAAGGGAGACAGAACCAGTTAGTAGAAGAGTGATTATAAAGCTAAGGCAGTGACCATTACAAAGTGAATCTTCATGATCGGACAATAAAAATCTACAGCATCTATAGAACAGAGAGCCGAGTGACGCTGTGATATATGTCAACGCAAAGAAGGGGACTTGCTTCTCTTATACAACATGTATTAGTCATCCTGGTGTATGGACAGTCATTTTCCTGTGATTTAATCATTCATATTTTATTCTCACCTCCTCTACCCCCACCCAGACTCCAGCTCCCTCAGCACAGTGGTGTCAGAGGCCTTTGTGCGTTTCTTTGTGGAGATGGTGGGTCACTACTCTCTCTTCATGGGCGGAGCAGAGCGAGACGACGAGTCTGTCTCCTCCCCGACGTTGCCCAGCCCCTCGTCTTCCTCGTCATCCTCCTCCTCCTCCCCCGTCTCGTCCTTTCAGCGTGATGCCTTTCGCAAAGCGGTCACGTCCAAGAGCTTGAGGAGGTTCTTGGAGGTGTTCATGGAGACGCAGATGTTCACCGGCTTCATCCAGGAGAGAGATCTGCGCCGTCAGGGCCTCAGAGGTACTGAGATATGATGACCTTCAAAAGTGTTCAACTTTATTATCTTTAAAAAAAAAAAAAAAAAGCTGGTTTAACACACATACCTGCTGTATGATTATGACATCTGTTTGACTTATTTTATTCCCAGGTCTATTTGAAGTGAGAGCACAGGAGTATCTGGACTCACTGCCTGGGAGCGAGCAACGAGGAGTCAACAAGTTCCTCAAGGGTCTAGGTGAGATTTAATGTATTTAATTATCCTTCAGTCAGTCATTTCAGAACTATCGCATCAGCCTTTCAAAGCCAGATCAATAAGAGACTGAGGGCAAATATTTTCCCCATTTCAAAGACTGCATTTGGCAGGAAGGCCACCATTTTTGTAAAGGAACTATCATTAAAAGCAGTGAGTAGTGGTCAGCACCAAATTCAATTCCACATAGGCTACATGAACATCGATCTTGTGTTATACTGCAGGAGAACGTTTTGGAAAAATCTAGTTTAAAAAAGTAGAATGATCTATAGAGGAAGGGCTTTATGTCTTGTGTATAGATTAAAATCTTCTCCTGTGCATTTCTCTGAAGACCAATTTTAGAGAACTTTGACAAGCCAAGTCACAGCCGTGCACATGGCTAAAAATTATGTTTGGACCAGCTATGTGTACACATCCAAGGAATTCAACTCTGTTTTTACATTGCTCTCAAATGTAACTCCATAGAAATAGTCAACAAGCTCAACAAAAATAACTTAATCAACAAACTACGACAAACAGTTCATTAGATATTTATTAAATATAATGATAAAATACAAAAGCAGTTATAACAGACTAAAGTGTAAATGATGCTGAGGTGAACAGGAGCCTTAGTTTTGTCCATGCCCTAACATTAATAAATGATATGTTTAAAATGTCCCTGCTTTACACCTGCAGTAATAAGATTCAGCCTTACTACACAGCTGTCAATATTCAAATAACTACAAAGCTTATTGCTGTATAAGCGAATACAAGTGTTCATCAAGTACTCTGCCCAAACTACCTTTTATAATCTCATTCAACTTTTTTTGTAATTCCAGGAAACAAGATGAAATTCCTCTCCAAGAAATGATTTCTGGATCCAGGAAGGCGTGGTCGAAAGTATGAAAAAAAGAGTTGTTAAGACAACATAAAGACTAGAGGATGCGCTCCCTGGACGTGGAGAACGTACTACGTGGATGTTTGAGAAAGGCAAACTTGAACTGGACCTGGAGGTAGTGAACTCGAAGGATTCTGGGGAATTATCCAATAATGTTGGGAGGGGTTAACTCAGCTTGGACCAAAGACCCCTCCAACACAACGTAGTGATATCCAACAGAGCGTTGATGTTTTACAGATTCTCATAATTCCCTGCAGTGTGTTTCTGTGCAGCACCAGTCAGTGTAAATGTTTATTTTAGGATCAGTGTTCTCCTTTTTTTCCATCATCGACTTCACCTGGAAAACCTGTAAGGAGGAGTGTCTCATTGTGTACAAAACTTTCCTATACATTCCAAGTATTTTCTATAGGAGCTTTTATAAATACAGTAGTACAACTTCTTCATCAGCAGGAGGCTTTTAAGTTAATTTATATTCTTTTTTTCTTTAGATAAACTTAATCTCAAATGTTTTATTTTAAATGAGTGCAAATAAATGTCCTGTAGTTTGTAATAGGCTTAATTTAACAGAGTCTAGAGCAGACTGTTTGTAGACCACTTTGGGTTGTTGGGTAAATGTACCACTGTTTGAGTAAATCTTCTTTGATTGGACAAAAGAAACAAGCATAAAAAAAAAAGGAAGAATGAGGACAATGTAAAGATGGAAGAAAAACAATGTGAATGTGTGTCACACTTTGGTCTGAGTAAAAGGTTTGGAAGTTGACGGAGGATGTGCATGTTAGGCTAATCTGTATCATTGTGTCTCACAAAAGCAACTCGGTTTGCCTTAAACTTGATTGAGAATGTGATGAAAGTTTATGAATAAAGTGATTCATTTTTTGAATAAGAAATGTCTCTTTAATTATCAAAGTGAGGCCGAGGAACTCTAGCAGTGTGATAACTGCTTGTTTTACCATTTTGAAATGACTCACATGGAGATGTTGTTTATATGAACTCTTGTCAGCACTTCTACAATTACTGTACTATGAGAGCAGAGCAAGTAAGGTTTGAGATGACAACCACAATATAACAAGAGCGCATTAGTTTACATATGATGCCAAATTATTCCGTTTTTGAGGTTACACTGTCTGGCTTTAATGAATTATTTAGAATTGATTATGTGGGTTTATATGGGTGAAGGTTAGTTTTCAGTTTGATTTGATTTGATTTGTTTATTCCGAACATGTAACACAAGACAAAGGTGAACATAAAAAAACAGACAAAAAAGAATAATTACAAACAGTGTAAGGTATAATTCAGAAGAAAAACAAAACACTTGAGCTATTTTAAGTTACATGTCCACAAAGGAGTGGGAAGAAGTAAACACTTATTGAATCCCACTTCCTCTCCATCTATTCAGCTAGTTTGTATTATATTTGTAAATTCTGACTTTAATATAATATAATATGAAAATTTATTTTTTATAGATTATATATGTATCTTTTCAATTTCAAGTTATAAATAAATATATAAATGATCTACAGATTCTAAATAATATAATAACAAAACCAACAGCAAAGAAAATGGAAAAATAGAAAAAAAGAAAACAGCAGCAACAACATGTAAACATGAATCCCTGCAGACATCTTGTGGACTTGAATTGATGGATGACAAAGATTTAAAGATGTAGGGTGTAAGATATCAGGCTCCACTGACAGGGTAAACCGTAGGAATTAAATAAAATATGTTTGATATTGGGTCTGCTTGACTGAAAAAAATGAATTTATATTATTTCACTTTATATTAACATTCTTTTATATCTTAAGTGAAATCAATTCGAGTCTACTGTGTTTCTCCTCTATCTTTTCAGTAGCCTATAAAGGGTTCCCAAACTTTTTGGCCTGCGACCCTCAAAATACGGGATGCCAGAGATTGGGGACCCCCCCCCCCCCCACTGTCCCTGGAGGTGGATAAAGAATGTAACCTTGTGCTCAGCAGGACACACACACTTCTGGGCCTATCCAAAAACTGACTTCAGAACAATACATGAGCCAAAAAAGACATTATTTGAGTAATTTATTGTAACCAAGTAATCTCCATGTGTAGACCGTTGCACTGATCGGATATACAAAATGTAATAAACAGACACACAGGTGATGTCTGTGTGTGTCTGAACGTTTATATTTGTGTGGAGCTGCAGCAACTTCATTGTTGCAGTCATTTAACAAAAACAAATTAAATTTTTTTAATTACATATTACTTTTATTTCCAGTATCAATTTGGAAGTAGGTTTTGCAATTTTATCAGCTACATGTAATACCCAAAATATCCACGAGAGGGATCTGTTACCAAGTTTTTGTTCTCTTGTCACTCAGAGTCCTAAGCTCAGAATCACATCTGAACAGATCACACAGACGATCAACCTGCAGGCCGGTAATGACCTGCACAACATTACCAAGACTAACAGCAATGACTGCTTTGTCTGCTTATGTGAGAGTATACGCAGAGGAACCTAAATAAGGAACAAAAAAAACGTTTTATTTAGACTATCTTCTTTTAACTAGAACACCTGACAAAAGAAAATAATGACAAGATAGATTTTTCTTATACATCAGTCTACAGTAAAACTTACGTGGTATGAACAAAGAAAAGTTGATATAATAAAAACCCTAGGCTACCTACTTTTAGAAAATAAACATAAATCCAATATTAGACAAAATGCAACCCAGTTTTGCACATTTGGGAAATAATTCAGTTTTTGGGTCTAAAATTGGAATAATCAGTTCAAAAGTTTTTTTTACAGACTAAAGGTCCAGATAAAAGACAACACAAAGGGACAGCACATTACATAAATAGACAACACAACAGGCTACACTAAAAGTAAAGTTGTTTGTTTTCAGCCATTGTATCGTTAGGTCTAGATAAACTTCCCAATGGAAAAAAAAAAGACTTAAAGTCAAACAAATTCAGGCTTGTACTCAATATACAGTTAATTCCTGTCATGTAGCCTATAGTCTACATGGTAAATTGTAGGCTACACCAGGTAGGCCTTACAAGTGCCCTTATATTAAGGCACTTTTTGTTTTAAAGTTGTTTGTGTTTCAGCCAGTGACCGGTCAACCAGTGACAGCTTCCCCTGACTGTAACTCTATTTTTTTAATATTAATGATATTTCCTTTGCAACACCCCCCTTTCCTTTAGGATCCCCCCCCCTTTCTCCTCCCCCGCCCTTCGTCATTACGTGGTGTTGAGCGGTCAGACCTGCCTCCCTCCTCCTCCTCCTCCTCTCCTCCTCCTCCTCCTCCTCCTTCTCTCTCTTGGTCTCTTTTTCTCTGGCTTTTACCAGTCTTCATGTCATACCACGGCTAATTCCTGAAATTCCTGCCCACCTCTCGCTTCAAACAAAACGGCTTCAGGGAAGGAGACCAGGCTGCAGAAAACAAAGAAAAAAAAACAAGAAACAGAATAACTCCTGATTTTTTTTTTTTTCTTCTTTTAAATAATAAAATATTCCTCCACCTGCCTGCCTGGCTGCCAGAGCTTCACCAGGTAAGCTCCTGCAAGTGTTTTACTATTTCTCTGTTTGAATGTTTCCCCCTCTCATGTCCAGACTTAAAACTGCGTATTAAGTCGGAGAGTAAACTTTCACTTAGTTGGATTTTGTGGATGTGAAGTCGGTATTTCACTCCACTCTCCCTCTGAATCATTCTCACTCACTGTCCGAAGTTTACATTCCTCAAATATCTCACATTTCTTCGCTCAAATTCCGACATTTTTTTGCTGTATCTCCACAGCTGCAGTGTGTGTATTTGTGATTGTTTGACTTCCTGTGACTTCAGCCGGAACTTTTTTTTTTTTTTCCATGTTTTTGAAAAGGAATAACGTCACAGTCGAGCTGTGAAACATTATCACATTAGCGTGTCTGTTTAAAGTTTTACACCTGAAACGGAGCTCATTCATAGTGTATTTATTAACTCGCAGCTTTAATTCAGAGAGTTTTTTTTCTCTCCTCTATCAACAAGTGTGAGAAGACTGAAAGTAGCCTGAAAGCTGCGATGTTGCCTCTATATTTCTCTGCCTATGACATCATCTTAATGTCTTTAAGGATAACTCCAAAAAAACGTGTTTGATGACACCTGGTTTCAGTGTCAAAGAACTTTTCAAGAAAGTAAAAGAAGATAGAATATGATGTTTAAAACCCTCTATAATAACCCTCTTTAAAACGTGCACGTCATTATGTCAAACAAACTGGTAGGCTGCAGGATATTAAGTTCAGCTCAATGTCAATGTTGTGCACTGAAAATACAGTAAAGTAATTTGTAAGAGAATCAATTTCAGAACAAAGTAGCTACAGGAGTAGTCACAAAGCATGCTAATATTCTCTCTGTCTTTAGTGTTTTTAAGTATATGCTAAGAATAACTATGAATAACAGATAAATAAGGCACAGTGAAAAACTAGATTTATCTGTGAAATATTAAATCATAAATAAGTTGTGAAAAATATATAAATATATAAATATTTTATAAATACTATAAAGACAAGCATAATGTTGCCTCTTTAGAAATTATTTTTCCTGTTATTATTGGTCTAAAAGTCTGCACCTAAAAAGTGGTCACTGCTGCATTACAAGTGTCTTTCTTCTTCTTTGAATGGAGTGTAAAGTTACTAAGTCCAAGTTATTATGCTGTACTTTTATCACATATTTATTCCCTGATACATGTTTTACTTTCTAGTCATGATACAAGTTTTTTTGTTTGTTTTAAACATAAAAAAACCTTTTAAGATTCAAGATCTCTATCTCAAGTAGTCCTGTTCAACACCGAGGCACAAGCAGATAAGCAACTCATAAATATTCTGCTGTCAGAGCAAACACAACAAACAAAAGCAAAATGTAGCACAAGTAGAGTAAGAGAGTTAATCCATGAATTCACTTAAATTATGGGTTGTGTTAAACAGAAAAAACAAATGCCTTAAAGCGTTTTCAGTAGAGCAACCTACCTCTTAGATATTTTGCATATCATGCTGTAATATATAATAATATAATATAATGACAGTTACAAACGTTGTTTATCTTCAATGAAACTTTTACTTTTGATGCGTTAACTTCATTTTGTTTACAGCAGGTCCAAAACTGAAAATGCAGAAGATTAAATGTAGCAGAGTATTTCCTATCATACTGCTGCTTTTTAAGAATAATGTCTAAAAGCTTCTTTTACAACTTAAAATGAGTCATTATTGATCATAAGAGGTGTCTGTGAGTAAAAGTCTATTAATCCATTTTATTCAGGTGTCTAGAAAATGAGGATTAAAAAAAGAGAAATCCAACAGAGAACAGAGAAAAGTTAAATGTTTATTTTCCTTGTGATACACGTATGTATTACATTCTTAGTAAAGGTTTTGTTTTCATTAAATATATCAAGTAAAGTTTAAGATGGAGATATAGAAGAAGATAGAGTGCAGCATTTCATAATTTTTAAAGTGATGTAGTTTTGATTGGAAGACTGATATTTTTGTGTCTAAAGAAACATGAAGTAATATTCAGGGAGGCTGCCAGAGATGACTTTCATTCTGAATAAATGTGCTACTAGTTTTCTAATGTAATGGGTTAAATATTTAAATATTTATCAAAAGTGTTGGAAAACAGCTACTGCAAGCCACCCAATGCTGCAGTGATGCATTGGAATAACATGGAGTAGCATCATTTTAAATGACCGACTGTCAAAAAGTCTAAATGTATTCAAGTTACCATCATAACACACCAGAAAATCAACATATGTTAACATTTGAGCATTTGAAACACATGTTTGTTTGTTAATAGACAACTTTTGGATACCGTGACAGACTCAACAAAATATTCAGCTTTACCATAAGTGCATATTTTTTCATTATTATTATTATTATTATTA